AATTCTGTTTCTAATTTCGATTTCTCCACCTGGAACCCTAGTTTCTTATCATTTTTAAAAACTTCTTTAATCTGAGCGTAATGTAACCAATCTCGCACTTTGTCTTTCATTTTCTCCAAACTCTGCAATTTCCAATTGTCTCCATCTTTTTCTAGTATTTCCCAATATTTTGGCCATTTGGCCTCCATATTGGGTCTTTTTCGGGCCTTAGCTTCCAAAGGTGAAAGCCACCTTGGTGTTTTATTTTCCAGCAAGTCTTTATATTTTGTCCAGACATTAAACAGTGATTTTCTAACAATATGGTTCTTAAAGGCCTTATTTGCTTTAACTTTGTCATACCATAAATATGCATGCCATCCAAACACATTGTTAAACCCTTCCAAATCTAACACATCGGTGTCTTCAAGAAGTAGCCAATCTTTTAGCCAGCAGAACGCTGCGGCTTCGTAATACAACTTTAAGTCCGGCAGGGCAAAGCCCCCTCTTTGTTTTGCATCAGTTAGTATCTTAAACTTAATTCTGGGCTTTTGCCCTGCCAGACAAACTTCGAAATGTCTCTCTGCCACTTCTGAAAGCACTCCATTTTGTCCAAAACCTGAAGTGTTTGAAATAAAAACAACATTCTTGGCAATACATTCATCTTAATCGCAGCAATTCGGCCTAACAAAGAAAGTTTCAATTTTGACCAACTGTCTAAGTCTCTCTTAATTTCTGTCCAACATTTTTCATAGTTATCCTTAAATAGACTTAGATTTTTTTGCTGTTATGTTTACCCCTAGGTATTTTACTTTTTTAACCACATTAAGTTCCGTCTCATTCTGAAACCGTTCTGACTCTGTCTCAGTCAAATTTTTTCCCAAAACCTTGGTTTTCTGTTTATTTAATTTAAATCCCGCCACCCGACCAAAGTCATTAATCAATTGTAATACTCTTTTCGTACTAGGCTCTGGCTTCTGCAAGGTCAAAACCAGGTCATCTGCAAAAGCTTTTAGTTAAGGCGTCATTTGGTGATTAGATTGTATATGAGTTTCTAACACTGACTAGAGTTTCCAGGGCTCTTTGGGGGTTTCAATATGTGGTTTAAATATATAGTGTGTATGCAGCCATGATAATAAACACAGGGCTGCCAGCCAAAACGTTGCAATATTTGTCCCCATGTCCTTTGCAGTATATAGTTCATTTTATATCAGAGCCTGATTTCTTTACACTGCATGTTCCCCGCCAGCCACTGCCAATAAAGTGAAGCGGTGCTGATGCTTAGCAAAATTATGTCAGGATATGATGTAACTGGAAAACACATGCCATGGAGGGGAAGCAACGACACGAGACTGCCATTTCCTTCAGCAGCCCTTTGTTTCTGATAGCTCCACACTGGTGGCTGTGGGTAAGCTCTTGACTGTTTGCTGCTTATGGCTGTGCCTTTGGATTATAGTGGCTCTCCACATGGCAATTTTCACGCTCTTCTTCAGGTTTAGAGGAAAGGATAGCAGCTTTTTTTTTTTTTGTCACAATAAAGGTTACGGCAATCCTCGAGTATAAATGTTTCCTGGGAGCAAGACATTTCAAAGTGCTTTGAAAAGAGGCCCTAACATATTGCAAATGTTTTACTGACATTTCTTATGAAAATTGAGCTGGTATTTTTATCCCTGTTAAATAACAATCTGTTGCCTCTCTGAAGGAAGCTGACAGTTTATCAATATCAGATGGCTACTACAACTAAGCTGGATCTGTGTGGTTAGAACAGTAATGGAAGGATGCAGAAACAGGCACTGTTCAGCCGTTAAACCATGTCAAGGTTAGGGAAACTGAATCATAGTTTGGTAGGATGTCTGGACAAACCATGGCTTCTATCAGCCAGCAAACCAAACATGATTTGAAATAGATTTGCAAAAGCATCTTGAGACCCATCAGGAAATAAGTATAATAAAAACAACAACATGGTTTGTATATTGTGTTTACTATGGTTTGTTATTGTACCTGAATTGACAAACTATAATTGCAACTATAGTTGTGACTGTTGGGCAAGGTACCTTATAGAAACAGAAGCACTGAGCAAATGGAAAACAAAAGGCGGAAGTCATAAAAGCAGAGAAGCAACTGTAAATCAAAAATCACAATTTTCCTGTATGCTTGGACGCTTAACCATAGCTTAATAACCTTTATTAATGCAGTCCATAGTTTGTTATGATATCTGAATTGAGTCACCCTCATTCTTGCACTTTTAAAAGACATCTCAGTGTTTACCCATGAATTTAGTTGGAAAGAAACAAAGTGACATCTCTTTTGTGTTGAATTGTGAAGTCTTATTTAAAGCTGTGGTTTAATTAGAAACTCCAGGTTGATTTTATCATTCTGTTTAAAAGATAGACACTGCAAGTGAAAGGCCAGACTATTGGCAATCCATGATAGGCTTAACAACTGCCAACTTGCCTCTCTGTTGCTGAATAATTGCCTGAGGTGTTTAGAAGTGGGACGGCCGGGGCGGGGGGAGGGATCCAACATGACTCATCATTTGGTGATTGTGATGTTAGTTGTTTCTCAGCTTCAAGTCGCCAACAATTGCTGCAGTTATCATATCAGTAATATAACTTTTGATATCATTTTCATGTTGATCTCCATAACTGGTATATGTATATGTATAACCATTCACACATTTGTGCTGACTGATTGGCTGATGGCGGTTTAATATTTTGGTGATTCAGTAGAAGCAAAATCTTCCCCCAGCATTTCTTCCTGCCCAACCTGGTATTTTAAGGTTATTGGGATCATTAACCTAATATATTCTCTCTCTCTCTGCCTTACAGAATGAAGCACTGATGTTTTAAGTAGGAAGACTTATAAATTGCTACTGCTTAGTTAGCATACACAGTTGGGTTGTGGTTTATCACACCAGCCTCTTAAGCAGAGACCTTCTGCTACAAGGAAGTACTATAAAAAGGCAATAAATGGATTCTGTAATCAGAAATGCTTTTATTTGTGTTATGGTTCTTGTGTACGTTTTGAAGAGTATTGCAAAGGAGCATCACAGCTGAAAGAACTGAAAGATTGTGGATGCCACCCTGGGCAATTCCATTGTTGGGATGCAAATGCTTCACCTGTTGCTGGGGCCACTGGCGTATCAGCAGCCACACCTGCTTCCTGTGTGACTTCCACAGCTAGAGGAGCAGAACTGGTCCCTGCCCCTAAGACATCCAAACGTGCTATAATTAAATCAACAGCACCCTGGTTAGGCTTTTGCTTTTTGATACTTTCTGGGTCTGGTCTGGCCTGCCAACTAGCACTTACTATTTAAGGCAGGGATAGACAACCTGTTGCCCTCTTAACATTGTTGGACTACAGTTCTCATCAGCCCTGATGGTTGCTTGATGGGACTGATGGGAATTGGAGTTAAACAGCATCTGGAGAGCATTACTTTGGCTACCTCACTTTGGCTACCCCTGCCAAAAACAAACAAGCAAGCAAACAAACAAAACCCTACAATATAATCATTCCACTTGAGAGAAGTTCTAAACATTCAACTTGCCATATAGCATAACAATGCTATAAAAAGAAAAAGGAAAATAGGAAAATAAAGAGATCATTGAAAGGAATACGATACCTGCTTTGAGTTAGGTTTGAGAAGCATATGCAGAGAGAGGGGGCACATTTTATAAGACAAATGGTTGCTTAGGTTACTATGTTCCATCCACCTGAAGCCACCATATTGCATTACTGACTATTTGCATATTACAGACATATCGCAAACATTGCACAAAGGAGGCATGTGTTGGTTGACTAATTGGTACTAAATTTGATGGAGCTATTCCAAGAAAAAGCAAGTGCTTCATTTCTGTATTATATTTTCATGCCACCCTTTCGCTCAGTGGTTCACAGTGTTATATGTATCACCCCCAATCCACCTCCATTTTATTTTATCAACAGTCCAGGGTAGTAATATAGGCTGAGATATAATGACAGTCTCAAGGTTGCCCTGTGCTTTGTATGTTACTTCAACCAAGGTCCAACATTGTACTGTGTTCTTTAAGAATACAGCACAATGGCAACTAACCGCATACTTTATTTTAAATCTTAAATATGTTTACTCAGGTGTCAGCTCCAGTCCGCTGAAATAGATTTCCTTGTGATAATGTTTAGGTTTACAGCTCTTGTTGTAAAACAATAGGATTAGCACCCTGATGCTAAATATTAGTGGCAGAGCATCTGCCTGTGACATTGGTATAACATTACTGTAACATTGCAGGAGCAGCATGTGCTTAGAAATAGTTGAGAGGGTGTCACTACCAATGTGTCCAGCCTAGAAAGTATATGTCTCTGGGATGAAATACTCTTGCCTGATGGCAGAGGATTGCAGGCCAAGGAGTCAACTACCCACCCAAAATTACCTTCTTCCAAGTCTCATACTGCAGGTGCTGGTTTTGACCATTAAAGCCCTAAATGGCTTTGGACCAGGATATCTTAGAAACTGTAGATATCCTGCCATATGAACCTACCTATCATGTTCATGCCTCTTCAGAGGCCCTTCTTCACTGCACCTGCAAAGTGTTCCTAAATTCAGGACATAATCCTGACAGGCTCTCTGCTAGTAAAAAGAAATACTCTCAGTCTTTCTCTTTCTCAAACATAGATACACTTAGCCATTGCTCAATAACAGTAATCAAAGGAAAAAGCACCCAGAATGCCAAAATATTGCATCTCACTTCCTTTTGATGGGCAAAATGTAAAGTACAAGTTGTAGCAAATGAAAGCTGAAAGAAATGTAATTTACCAAGAAATAATTCTGACAACAGTTCTTTTCTGTTTTTCCTTTATAGGTGCCTCTTACACCATTTCTCTTGTGAAGGCTATTCAGTAGTGGAGACCTTTTTTAATCGAACACTCCACAAATTATTATCTCTGGACTCCCAGCTGACATCCTGCTGGAGGCTACAGCTACTAAGCCAACTGGAACTGTGCCCACTCTCTCTTGTCAAGGTTTTTTATTTTTTATTTTCCTCACACAGGGAGAAGAAGAAAAAATGAAGTTTGGCAAGGTGGAGTTCTGCCATTTTTTGCAGATAATAGCGCTTTTCCTCTGTCTTTCTGGGATGAGTCAAACAGAACTCCCTAGATCCAGGTCAAAGCCCTATTTCCAATCTGGGAGATCACGAACCAAACGCAGCTGGGTGTGGAATCAGTTCTTTGTGCTGGAGGAATACATGGGAAATGATCCCCTCTATGTAGGAAAGGTAGGAGATCTGATCAAATGTCCTATGGCAGAGATACTTGTCTGTCAGAAGCCACTAAAACTGTGATCATGAATTACTGTAGAATAAGTTGTGGTAAAGAGACATCTACTTGGAAGTAAGATTCATTTATTTCAGAAGACTTGGGCCTTATGCTACAAATCCCTCAAGTGTGATTCTTGTTTGTTGCTACCTTTCCATTTTCCCTCACACTGGTAGACATGTGTAAAGTCTTCAGCCCCATTGGTACCTCTGGCACTACTGTTAGTATCCATGGCAGTGACACTGAACCTTTTGTGAAATATGCTCGGCCCCTTGGCCAGTGGGATCAGGAAAGCAATTGCAAGGGTTTGTGGGCCTTAATGGAAAATAAATGTGTTTGGCTTGAGCAGAAACTGTCTCAAAAGGTCTTATGTTTCCCAAAGTGCCACTTTCAAACCATGACTTGGAAGATAAAATTACATTTGCTTGGTTACCTCTGGGGTTCTATACTAATCTGCCTCTAAGCTTTCTGAAGCCTCCCCTTGGGAGGAATTGAACCATAGTTAAACTGTGGAATTCACTTCCAGATGATGTGGTGATGACCACCAATTTAGATGGCTTTAAAGGGGGATGTACAGTGCAATCATATACAGAGGTGTCACTGAATTAATGTTGAATTAAGGATCCCAGTCTTAAACAATGTAATATGAAAGAATCAGAGAGGAAAAACATCAGAAGTTAGATTTCTTAGTACATAGATATATAGATTCAGTTTTGTAATAAGATTTCTTTATTTCCAGAAATGAGGCTGTTTAGATAAGTAAGATTCCCTAAAGCAGGAGGTTACTTATATTAATGGAGGATAGAGTTACTAGACACAATGGCTGTATGATTCCTCCAGGATAAGAAGCAGTACTAGTGGTTAAGGAAGAACAATGAGGCAGACCCTTCTTATGGGCTTCCCAGATGCATCTAGTTAGCTCCTGAGGAAGCCAGGATACTGGACTAAATAGGCAGGCTTCTTCTTATGTTCTTATATTTAGGGAATAACAGATTGTTTAAATGGCTGTTTTACAGCTATTAGATTTTCGAGCATTTGCCTTTTCTTATGGAATTGACCTTTTTGGATAGCACTTTAAGGAACATCACTGGATAAAGTGATAGATGCAAAGACCAGAGTTGCATCCTCATGTCTTTCCCCCATGCTGTGCAATTGAATAACATCATTTAATTTGTTTGCTTTGAACTGAATATTGGTAAGAATTCTTCTGAGGAAATGAGCTTGGTATTTCAGTAGCTTCCAGTTAACTGCTTCACGTCACATTTGCACAGCACCACTTTCTTCCCGCCCCCATGGATTTGTGATGTTGTCCACAAACCTCTTGCTATTTCTGGGATACTTATTCCATTTCCACAGTTCACACATTTAGTTCTCCCATACCAAACCTTAACATAAGAAAGCTTTCTCCAATGTTCAGCCCTCCAGATGTTGAACTCCCATCATCCTTGACCACTGGCCATGTTGGCTAGTGCAGGTGGGTCTTGGAGTCCATCAGCATTTGAGGGGGCACCATGTTGGCGAAGACAGACATAATGCATGAGCTGAGCTCTCCATGAATGCACACACACGACTTCTTGGCAGCCTTAGTTGTTTCTGCAATCACAGTAGCTAAAAAAAAGGTGGAACTGTGGCAGGTATACTGCATTATGAACCAGCTTTTAGCTTGAGTAGGGAATGAAGCATTTAATTGCTGAGCTCATTTGGCTGATTGCACATACATTGGCAATATTTAGGAAGGGGTAGGTGACTTGGAAACAGACGAGCTGCAAATGTTTGTTGTTATTGTAGAGTATGCTGGGTGAAAATGGATTACTTTGTGCTTTTTTGTTTTTCAGTGGGGATTGTTTGGCATACAAATAATAGCGAATGGCACTCTCGGATTCTGTGCATGTGTGTCTGAAGCTGAAGGAGAAATATCACACACTGTTATATTATTTGAGAAATACTGTAATTAAAGTCTGTATGGAAATCCATGTACACAGGCAGGCAGAGCTAAAGATGTGCATGCAACCATATTCTGGGAATTTCCATATTTTGTTTGACTGCTTAACCATGCAACCCTAATGTTCTTTAATTTATTTGCTTTGGACAGAATACTGATAAGAATTCTCCTGAAGCAATGAGCTTGGCATTTCAATAGCTCCCAGTTTCATCCAGAATTTCTAAAGTAAAACTTGGAACCTAAAACGGACAGATTACCTTCTTACCTGCCTCCCTTTGAATCCAAAGTTCCCATATTCAGATCAGTGGCAGGGTAATAAGTCAGTTCACAATGGTGTGATGTGCCCAAGCTGCAAATATCAGATTCACTTCCAGATCTGGATTATATAGTTATCGTATGCTTGGGTAGCTCTGTTGGTCATGGGTTTGAGCCCCATGTTGGCCAAAATATTCTGGCATCACAGGAGGTTGGCTAGAGGAGCCTTGTGGTCCCTTTCAACCCTACAATTCTATCATTATATAATCTGCAAGTAAATATAAGTCCAGAATGCTGGGCTTGGTCCACATAGAAAGGCCATTCTTATGTTCAGCACCTTGCTTAGCAAAGTTTTAATAGTGGTGAAGGACGTAGAATAATCTCTGCACATTGATTATGCTTATGCTAACTTCAGCTGCCCAAACTGGTTTTTGGAGTCCAGCAACTGTGAAATCCTATCTTTGCACATAGGGTAGTTCCAGATACCTAGGATTTTGTTAGTTCTCCCTCCTGATCAAAATGGAGTGTTCCATTCAAAGCATCATCATAATGAAACACATGTGGCAAGCACTGTTTCTCTTTACTTTGGTTTTAAGCATCTTTTCTTCCCAAGGTAACCAGCGCCAGGCAGAGTTCTCATCAAGACAGCAGTTCAGATACTTATCCCCCCCCCCCGCTGCCCCTGCCACACCTTTCACAGCTCTAAAGTGCTTCCAGGCCTCTGACAATACACTGTGCTCTAGGCCATCACTTTCTCCGTAAGGCTTATGGAGTGCCTTTTCCAAAGACTTTGATTGTGACTGAATATACTACCCCTGATTTGCTGTCATATCTCTGTTCTGTAGTCCTTTAGTGACAGACTGACAAAAGACAGTGGGGAAGGAATAGGAGATATATGGAGATGAAGTTTGGATAGCATGTGTGTGCATGTGTATAGACTCCCCCCCCAACCCCCCCCTACAAATCTCTATTTATTTGATCAAGGGAAATTGATAAAAATAGCATTTAAAATGACGGATCATTATTAAGTGCAACTGATTGTTAAGTGCAAGTGATTAAAATTGCCTATAATGAGATGATTATAGATGAAAACAAACAGCTATTCCCTGGTCTTCTTATTACGAATCTATCTCTCTAGCTAGAAGAAAGGATTCATCTTAAAAAAAGAAACCCTTTTCCCCATCCCCAGATGCACAGAATCTCTATTCCTGGTTTGCAGATCACGGACAGGTGCATCCTAACAAGATGTTTCTGATGCGATCGTACAAGGAACCCAGGAAGGAGTTGTGCTATACAAGATCCCATTGTGGTTATTGTTAGAACACTGCTGACTCCACCAAGTTTTGAAGAAATGCCTCTTTAAAAGAATACCATTTATGTAGCCAGATTGAGATATACTTTACGAAGAAGGACTTTAGCTGTCAGTAGTGAATGAAAGTCAGAACTAAATAAATCACTGGGTGAAATCAGAATTAAAGCACCAGGCCTCTTATAATTATTACTGTTATTATTAGTTACTGGCGCATCACCCTAAGGTCCCAGGGCAGCTTACAGCATTGACACATGATAGTAAAAACAGTTTTAAACAACTTAAAATAACCAAAATTAAAATGGGTCCCTAATACATCCTCAGGTGTCAAAAGCCAGGGTAAAGAGGTGCGTCTTCAGCTTTTGCTGGAAGCTGTATAATGAAGATGCAAGACACATCTCTGTGGGGTGGGAGTCTCACAACTAACGGGCTGCCACAGAAAATGCCCTCTCTTGGGCTGCCACCCTCTGAACCTCAGGGCAGAGGAACTACCAAAGGGCCCCGCTGTCAATCTCAGCACCCATGAGGATCAATACATTAGGATCTGGTCGTTCAGATATTTGTGAGCACTAACGTGACATGACCTGGCAACCAGTTGCAGCTGTTTTAAACCAGGTGTTATGTCCAGGGGACACAGGGGGGGGGGCGCAAATCTGGCTGCTGCATTTTGGAACAGTTGAAGTTTTTGAGTTGTCTTCAAAGGCAACCTCATGTAGAGGACATTGCATTATTCCAAACTGCAAGTTACCAGAGCATGGAGTATAGTGGCCATGTCATCTCTGTCTAAAAGGACTGTACCTGGTGAACCAACCAGAGCTGAAAAAGGCATTGCTAGCCACTGAGGTCACCTGGGCCTCTAGCAACAAAGATGGATGCTGAAGCACCCCCAGATTACAAACCTTCTCTTTCAGCAGGTGTACAACCCCATACAAAACCAATATCCAGTGGACCAATATCCAGGATTCAGGAACTATTCACCCATAGTTCCTTGCTATTGCCAGGAATCAAAGTCAGTTTATGGGTCATCATCCAGCTCACCACCGAGTCCAGGCATTGGTCCATCATATCAGTTATAGAAAAGTAGAGGAGATTATTGACAACACAAATCTCCTAATAACTGATCTCAGTGGCTTCACGTGGGTGTTAAACAGCACTGGGGAGAAGATGGTACCCTGTAGCACCCCTCAGCACAACTGCTAGGGGGCCAAAAGACAATCATCCAATGTTATATTCTGAAACCAATCCCAGAGATAGGATTGGAGCCACTGTAAAACAAAGCTTCCAATACTCACCCTGCTAAGCCTGCTCAGAAGGATACCTTGATGAAGCCACTGAGAGATCAAGTAAAAATAACTGGGTCATACTCCCCCTATTCTTCTTCTGATAAAGGGTCACAATCATTTTAAAAGTAATGTGGTTATATGATATGGGTTTTGGTTTTTCTCTATTTTTCA